ATCAAAGTGATTCCAAACTATAAATCTTCCAACGTGCAGCCCTCTTTCTCCCATGAAGTGGCTGGTGGTTTTGAACCACCGACCTTGTGGTGAGCCGTCCAGTGCTTGCTCCACAGTGCCCCCAGGGCTCTATCTGCTTGAGGTCAAGTTGGAGTTCTCTGAAGACAACCAAGGCGCAAGCAGTGCGCAGGAGGCGGGGGCCAGAGAAATTCCTGCCTTGATATCTGAACAGAACGGAGCTAGGAGGCTCCGCATGAGCTCAGGAAAGGCTTCCCTGCAGAGATGAGGCTTGGGCTGCCCTGGATGGTGAGCAGCAAGCCAAGTGGAGGAGTGTGGAGAGGAGGCGGTGCCAGAACCAGACACCTCCAGTCGGAGGGGGCTGCTGGCCCGGAGGAGGGGGCTCTGGAGCTGGGCTTTGCAGGTTTGCCAGGTCAGAAAAAAAAAAAAAAATGTGTTTGCGGGTCTGAGAGCCCTGCCTAAAACAGCCTGGGGCGAGTCTTCCGATGGAGAATCAAGCCACCAGGGTAGTCGGGGCAATAGAGGTTGGACCGTGCAGGGTCACAGCACATGCAAAGGTCCTGGGGTGAGGCCGGCCCCGGGGGGGGCGGGGGGTGTCCAGCCAGAGGTTGGCGGCTGCGCGTTTTGGAAGCAGGTGAACAAGGAGCGAGAAGAGCCTTGGGGCTGGGAGGCGCGCGCGGGGCAGGTGCGCGGACGAGGCGGCGACTGGCCCGCGGAGGGCGCCTTGCGCTCACAAAAGAGGCGCCTGGTCGCCCGCCGTGCGCGCGCGCCGGCGCCGTGGGGTGCGGAGGGTGGTGAGCCCTCTGCCCCGGACAAAGCACGGAAACGGAGCCTCGCGGGGACCAAGCCCCAGAGGGAGCTCCAGCCCAAGCGGCGGGGGATGCCAGCTCCCGGGTTTCCGGGGTGGGCGCGGGGGTCGGGAAGCCCGGGGAGGCCCGCCGAGGTGCGCGCCCCGCGCCCGCGGACCCGACCGGCTGCTGCGGGGCGCGTGGGAGGACTGGCCGGTCCTCGTGAGCCCGCACCAGGCTGTTATTCACGATGACGCCCGTTTCGCTGAAAGCCCGACTGAGTGCCTGCCGGGGTGGGGGTGCATATCGGGGGTGGGCGTGCAGAGGTTTGGGGCGCTGGAAGGGTCCGGGAAGGTTCCCAAGAAGGTGAGTGGGGCCAGGGTCGGGGTGGGGGGAGGGACTCTGTTCTGGCAAGATGCCCGGACCCCCACCCACCACCCCGCCGCGGCCCCGCCTTGGTAACTGGCTGGATCAGGTCCTTGGCTAGAATTCCATTTTTTCCAAGAAGGGTGAGGTGGTTTGTGGGAAACAGCCAGGGGGGTTATTTATAGAGGTCACAGGAAATCTCAGTCAGAGCCTCAGCTAGCCGCTGGACTGCAGGACCAGAGAGTAGGAGGGTAGACCGATGGCTCCCTTTTCGATGCTGGGGGTCCCCCAAGGAGCTGAGCTCAAACACCTCCTGTCTGAAGGGGGAGCAGAGGCGAAGGCCTGGAGGCCTCCTGGAAGAGGGGGTTCTGGAATTGGGCTTTGCAGGAAGAGAATTTCCCAAGCAGGAAAAACTCACACCATCCAATCGATTCCAACTCATAGTGACCCACCGGACAGAGCAGAACTGACCGGTGGGTGACCAAGGGTCTTTATGGGAGCAGAAAACCTCCTCTTTCTCCTGTGGAGCAGCTAGTGGACTTAGAACTCCTGGTCAACCCTTAGCACCCAAGCCTAACCCACTCTGACAGCAGGGTTCCTTCCAGGCAAGAGAACCAAATTGAAATTCACTGCCACCGAGCCCATTCCGACTCTTAGCGAGCCCATAGGGCAGGGTAGAAGTGTCCCCGTGGGTATCAGAGACCAACTCTTTACGGGAGTTAGAAAGCCTTGTTTTTGTACACAGGAGCGCCTGGCTGGTGGTTTTGAACTGCTGACCTTGGGGTTAGCAGCCCACTGCATAATCACTACGCCACCAGGGCTCCTCCAGGCAGCAATGCAAATGGACACTGCATTTTAACCAGAGAGCCCAGCACAAATAGAGCCCAGCACTCTGGGAATCTTCAGTCACAGAAGGAAATGTCCAGGGCTCTTTGCAGGCTGTGCAATGTCACGAAAGGGCTGGGGAGGCTGGGCTTTCTCGCAAGGGCAATAGGGAGCCATGGAGGGTGTGTGAGCAGGAGATGGGAAGCCTTAGAATTTTCTGGCAGAAAGATCCAACCGGGGGGCATCATGGGGCCTGTGGAAGGCTGAGCCAGGGTCAGCCATGGGGCCAACAAGACCAATGTCATCCTAGAATGTTCTAGGTGGCAGAATCTGAACAAGCATTAGCCTGTTTGTTCTTATGCCCATTTCTCAGATGAGAAAGCCAAGCCTTGATTCAAACCCAGGGCTCACCGGCCTGGAAACCCCAAATCAGGTCCCCATGGCCTCTTGGGCAGACCAGGATCAGCACCCCTCTGACTCTGGGCTTCCACAGCTGTAGGCTCAGGGTCAGGGATGTCCTGCTTCCTTGGGGCCGGGGCTGGCCTGTCTGGGCGGCTGGCCTGGCTGGCCTGGCTGACCTCCCTGGACGGGCTTGGCAGAGCCCCAGCTGAGGGCTTCCTGCAGCGGCCGGCTCTCACCCGCACTTCCGCATCCAGGAAATATCGCTCCTTTGTCCCTCAGACTGGCCTGTCCTAAGCGTGGCGCTGGCAGCCCAGGCTCCTCGTGACTCACCCCTCCCTCTCCAGGTCCCAGGGGATCTGCCCTGGGGGAGCCCTTAGGGGGTGAGTTAGTTAATTGTGCCAGCCTGGCCGATAATCACATGTG